GGACCGTTCAGCGCCGATTTTAAAGAACTAACGAGTTTATCCTTTCAAAAGATAATTTGAGCTTTGACGAAATTGCGTCCTATTCGGTTTTTGTAGATTGAGTTTCGAGTTATTAACGCTGATAGTTATATATTTTATTACGGCTGTACTACTGTTAAATCATATAATATATTAGCATTAGTTTATCTGCTTAATACTAGTTTATTCCTGTTTGGACAATGCACATTGACTAGATGGCATCGAGGTTAGTATTGATAACTTAAAACACTTGAAACCTGTACTTTTTTAAAAATAAACAAATAAACAAAACAGGGATGTTCCCGCGCGTATGATAGTACGCGTGGGAACATCCCTGTGTTGTGGAGGATATTGCAAACATGATCCCTCGGGCATAAAGTACACCCAGACTCTGGACGAATATTTGTGTACCTCAATTAATTAGTGCCCATTGTTATTGGCAAAAAAGTCCAGCTCGTGTAAATCGTTCCGATTCCAATTATTTGCAGTAAATTACGAAAGATTAAGCGAACTTCGCAATGAAATCGCCAATTTTAAATGGTTGCTTTTTAATACAGGAAAGTGGCTAACTGACAATTCTCGCATATATTTTTATTACAACGATACCAGTGGAATTTCATGTATCGGCATAGCTAATGGACCAGGATAAACTAGCATGGATAACATAAATGTAAAGGAAATTATACTGGTCTTTGCCGTGGTTGTGTTATTATAAGATTAACTTCAAACTATACTTAAAATCGTTGGACAAATAATTGTAGGCACTTAATCCAGTAACGCCCGGTTTCTGAAACACTGATCATCGTAGATGTCAACTAATCAGCTGTCAAATGGCTCTTTGAATTTCATTTTAGTTCACAAAAGGATGGTTAAACACACTGAATTGACTAGAATGATCTTCTTAATGATCAGAATGATCAATTCAAAGAGTTTAACTATCCTTTTGGTAACTCAAATGACATTTGAAAAGCCATTTGACAGCTGATTAGTTGACATCTACGATGATCAGTGTTTCAGAAACCGGGCATAAGAGTTTTGGTTGATACTTTTAATACCACACGTAAACTTAACAATGAACTCTTATTGTTTACGATCTAAAAGCGATAGGCTAAGACAATTAGGTAGTGTTGTTCATTCATGTGTCACGGAACTTAAACAAGCGATAATAGTGACAGATGGTGATGTGGGCGTCATCTCAGTGCAAGTGTGGGACTCCGTCCTTCCTAATTAAGAAATTGATCTAAAATCAATGATTAGAGGAAAAGGTCTGGTTTGGTACAATTCTTTTCTCGCTGAAATGTTACGTATTTAGCAAGAAAATGTGGCTGATATTCTTGGCCTCTTGGTAAGGGCTAGTTTAATTAGATTACTTGTATAAAATTCGGCATTCACGGTCTGACGCTTTAGTTAAACGGCTGATTGCCACACCACACCACCATCCGTAAAATTAGTTTCATTTATAATGTGTAATCGCGTAAATACAAGAAATTATTACGTTACTTGTTACTTAGTGAGGTTCTGCAAACATTGTAAATAAAAAAAGTTTTTACTGTCGTTTGGCACATCCTCATCATCATCATCATTTCAGCCTGTTTAAGTCCATCGCTGAATATAGGCCTCCCTCCCAGACTGTCACGAAGCACGATCCCGAGCGACCTGCTTCCATTGACTTCCCGCACACTTGCACATCCTCGCGACTCCTCTATGCAGGTATATCTTCTAACAAAACATTTTTCTCTATAAGGTGTTTTCATTGATTATAATCAATTTATTTTTTTTAATAATTATTAATGTTGCTTTCACGAAGCGATCATTAAAATTCATTACAGTTACCTAGTGAAATAGGCCACAAGCTTACCGAGCGACGTTAATTACCGGAAAAGCGAAATTGCATGATTAATGCTAAACACGTAACATTACCGAAATTATAATGGCTGTTAAGTTTTATTCATGACAAAACGTTTGGTACTTTTCTTGCACACTAAATAGAATGCTCGCTAACATTCGGATATGTTTTTTTTTTGTTTTTTAGTGCTTAGAACTATGCAGGTTTTAATCCTTTCCTTTTTTAGTTTTTAAAAAGTCTGTAATGGAACTTTAATAATAAATGATTGACTTATGTTGGATAATAAAACGCGCATTCAGAGTATCTTGTAATAATGGCTTTCTAAAAGATTTCTTACGTATTTAGTGATTTGGAAAATATAATGCAAAATTCAATGGAATATTACGAATTGTGTATTTAATGAATATTTAAAATATTTCGCAAAATGTTATAGGTTAAATAATTGAAACTATTTGTGTTGCTGGCCAGTTTTGGGCATACAGATTTGTATTAGGTTACCCTACATAAGAAATTGTCTTTTAAATACTCTCTACGTAGGTATCTCAATCATGCTAGTTATAATTAAAAATGAAGATTAATCTGAAATTATGTAACGGAAATTTTATACACGAGAAAAGTAGAAAATATAATATTAAAAAACGATAAAAATAGAACTATTTTTTATACTAACAGTATAAGGGATGTCGATTTCAATACATATTTCATATCACATATGATGTCACGTTACGGCTCGTTATTCATTACGACATAACCGCAAAATTAAGTTCATCGCTCATTAATTTGGTGCGCTTACTTTACCCTTAACGAGCCCTTAAAATTTATTGAATTCATATGGCGAAATAGGTCACGGCCAACTTTGCTTAGTCTCTGCTTGTAAATAAATTAGCAACACCAAAATACCAGTAAAAAGCCCAATGTAACATCCATATTTTTATTTCTTCCTATGGCCTGAAAATGCTTAATCTACCTCGGCTCATCCGCTAGCAATCTGTGTCAGGTTGTATCAGCGTTACGTCGGCTTGCATATTACTTGTAGACTCCCTATGTAAACACTTCAGAGAGTTCTACCAAACGGTTCATCAAAGTAGCCATGGTAGGACCACGTAGCAGCATAGGCTTTTGCACGAATGGGCAGGTCCGTCCGGGTAAGTACTACGACCTCACAGAAGACCAGCGAGAAGTAGAAGTATAATACTTTCGTGTTTAGTCCGGAGTTTGAGGCAGTCGGAGTCCAATTTCCAACAGGCTGTCAACGTATCTGCAACCCTCGAGTGTAGCAGACATCCATGGGCGTCGGTATTCACTAGCTAACATCAGGTGAATCGCCTGCTCGCTTGGCAACTTTTCACATAAATAAAAATCTGACAGACGCTGCTGGTTTGCTTTATCCCAAAAAAAAAAAAAAAAATAAACACCCTGCGGTCAAATGTAAAGTTACATTTGTAAAGTAACGCAAAGCGAACGCCGACCCGGGAAAAACCGCTGCAATCAGTGCCGAATCGTCACTCACGCGTGGAGCGGAAATGAAAGCCGGTTTTAATATGACTAGTGCCGACGGACCCTGTTTCGTGAATAATATCCGGTTTACAGGTTCAATTCTACTGTTAAAGTCTATGGAAAATTTCATTTTCAATGCCTTTAATTAGTATGAATGTAGTGACATATAGAAGATGATATGGCAAGCGAGCAGGCCGTTCACATGATGTAAAGTGATCATCACCATTCATACAGCATGTAGTCAATCTGATAGTCACCTGACGAAACGCGAAAGTATAATACTTCCGCTTCACGTTTGTCTTATGTCATACTAGCTACCCGCCCCGGCTTCGTATGGGTGCAATGTATTATACCTTACTCTTGAATCACACTATCTAGTAAAAAAAAACACATCGAGATCCGTTGCGTAGTTTTAAAGATCTGAGCTTACATAAGGGCAGACCAGGAGATTCTTAGAGAAAGACGGCACTACCATATCTTATAAAACTTCTTGTAGGAATCTTGGAAATATATTCAATGTTCATACCACCGATATAAAATATTACAAGTTTAAAGTAAGTAAATAAATACAATATCACATAAATATTCTAGAGCATCCTAGGCTTAATGTTGCGGCTGGGGACAAGACTTTTCTCAAAGGTACCTAAAGCATAACTATTCAGGGAGGAAATGCAGCTAGCGTTCTTGGCGCCATGCCGCGTGGATTAGGTTTATTAGATAATTTGTAATTTAGATAGATTTGATATTGTTAATGTTGGATAAATAAATTGTATAAAAATAATTGAACTTATTTCCAGGACATATTTTTACGAATCGTTATTTTGTCCTAAACTAAACAAAGCTTATATTTTGATGGTTACTGGATTATTGATAAAATTCTATGTATAGGTTACATTACGAGTGTTGCACATGTCAATGGGCGGCGGTTATCAATCGATGCTGGTCGCTTGCCATCTTCTTACATCAAAAAATGGTATAAAGAAGTTCGAAAAAACAATCGCGTGGACAATATACACCAATAAGTACAGTGGGTGGAAAATTCGAACACTATTGAATCCCTACAAATGAAACGGCATTTTAATCTTTCATGTTAAGACTTGACATGAAAATCTGCAATCAATCATATTGTAATCCGAGCATATTTGTGTTATCATAATGAAAGAGATTAAGAGCAATAAAAGTAATACCCTGGTCTTAACAATCTATAATCCCCAAAAAACTATTTTTGTATAAAATGAGGATGTTTTTGTGAAAATGTATAGTTGTTAAACCTCGACTTCAAGAAAAGGTACGTCTTTCTTCAATTTTTATTTATTTGCTTCAGTTTACTTACCTTAAATCGATTTAAAATCAAAAATGGATAATTAATTCGTACACCTTAAATGAAATCTGAATAAATTTCGAGATTAAGAAAGGAATCTTTTCCGTGACTAGAATGAGCAATATTTCAATTTAAAGTTATTTATTATACTTTTCTTGTTTAGTGCTTTGAACAACTTACAAATTATTTCATTAGTTGAGTTATTTATCTTGGTATTTTTCTAAATTATCAACCTCATTGCACTAAAAATATTCCACTCAATTTTGTCATTCATTTGGTAACTGATTTTTTTAGATTATGAAATTCCTGCTATTGTCAGTCTTCATTGCCGCGGCTGTTGCCAGCCCGACACACCGCCTTGTGCAGCCCGGTCCAGGTGGACCCGCCCCCGTTATAATTGATGAAGAGCCCATCTCGATCGGACCCGCTCTCGTCGACCCAGAACCCATTGCAATTGGGCCTGCCATAATCAACCCGGAACCCATTGCCATCGGCCCCGCCATAATCAAGCCCGAACCGGTCGCCATCGGACCCGCTTTTGTCGACGAGTCGGCTGTCGCCGAAGCTGCCAAACAGCCCATAGTCCAAATCATCATCAACGTTAATGAGCAGGGTCAGATCATCGCGTGCTCCTGTCGTTTCCCCGTCTCCCGTCGAGTATGAAATCGCACCAGAGCCAGTGTCGGTAGTTGAAGAGGCGGCCGAACCAGAGCTCGTCCCCGTCGTAATCGGCAAGCCCGTACTCCCAACTCCAGTGATCAATATCCCCGGTACCCTGAACTAATAAGTACGAACAACGCTGAAATTTGTTAAAGAAATTACTTAGAAGAAGACGAAGAAGAAACGCTTATTCTACGGTCTAAGCACAATGGATACATACAAAACTTAAAAAATAATGTAACTTACACACATATCCTTAATAAATGATGTACTTCGTTAAATTTTATGTATTTTTCTATATGTATTCAAATAAGTTCCGCGGGATTATGTACCGTTCGCGCAATTAAAACAATGAACTAATCAATCTTCGTCCTTATTCGTGGTGTATGGGTGCGTGAAGCTTTGTATGATTTTAATAATATTTTAATAAATTTGTATAATTTAATACATTTTATTGTATATAACAAAAATATTTTTTTTCCAAAACAAGTTCAAATTTTAAAAGATAAGGTAACAAGATCAATGATCTTAGAATGATTTTAGTTCAAAACACCTGATGAGTTATTAAAAATAGGTGGCAAATAGTGAGGCCTAATATTTCTGTCACGATGGTACAGTAATAGACTCTTAGTGCTTGAGACTTTCACATTCTATTAGGACTTTATTAAATCCTAAATCCCACAATTCATACTATATTACCAGTTTACCCCGAGTGAGTGAGAGTGGACGACGTAGTTTAAAAAAGTAGGTACTTGAATCATCTTCAGAATATAATAATCTAATAACGATGGGACTTGTAGCAAACTCTAAATAATATAACTAGTTACATACTAAAGCATCAGCTTCGGATGTCATAATAAACGTAAGTATAGTATAAACTAAGTGCAGTTTTAATAAGACACACAAACACACAAAACCCCTTAGATGGTGTATATAACAACGTTTCATCTCACGTAAAACTTCTGCTCGCTTGCCAACTTTCCACACGAAAAAAATATAGAAAAATTAGTGACATTATTAAGAAATTACTTTAAAAAATATGGAAATGATTTTTGTTTTGAAAATGTGCCTCACAGAATATTTGGTATTTGCTTAATACGAAAATTATGTATCATCATAATTACGTAAATGATTATTGTGAAAAAGCGCTACGCTTTAGAATTTTTACAATACAGAGCGTCGGAATAAGAAGATATTAAGTAGTCAATAATCATTGTAATAGTAAATCATGCTCTTCCATTTCATCATTTCGACGTCTTTTATATTTATCAAGAATCCTTACGTAAATGAATATTGTTATTCATTAATATTGTAGTATGATTTAATAGCTTGCTTGCGCCAGATTCGGTAATTTAATGGTAATATAACATATTTGCGTTACGTAAAATTAGAAGTGCCCTATCAACATTTACACCCGTTATATACAACCCAGAACAAAATTCGTTTACTCGCATATGTAATACTAACGTACAAATGAGATAAAAGATTAAAATATGTTTTTAATATAATAAGTTTCTCACATTAAGGAAATAAATTGTAATTTTTAGATAAAACAATTATTTACGTGTTGGGCAAGTTAAGATAACGTATCGTATGAGTTGAATTAATTTTATAATTTTTTTTAAGGATTAATTGAGGTCCCTACCTTTTCGGCGAAAACATGATTAACACGAGCCAGATAAACAGGAAATATATTCAGTGTGGTAACACACCCAAGTCCTCGCCCTCGTCCCGCGCTCCTTCCCTAATACCCTCTGTACAGGCAGTTATTTCGTTTTTTCATGCTTTCCTCGTGAATGCGAGAAATCATTATAATACCTCTTTTTTACATCAATATTGTTTTCAGGGTGTTCCTAATTGAAAATTACGATTAATAAAGATAATATTTCAGTTCACTGGAGTGGAATTTATAAGTCCCGGTACAAACGGAAGCAATGATTTTAATAGGCTTTGTTATTGGTGGACGATACGGAATTAATCCGTATTATTGGTTTAGGTTCATTTCGTTAAATTATTTCGTCTAGACTAAATTGAATAGTAAATTAAATTTAAGACTAGTAAATTCGTTTTCATAAAACTCCCATTTCCAGGTGACATGCGGTCACCGAGGGAAATAGTTATTAAACTTTTACTCTGAGCTTCTTGAATAAATTAAATAAATGCTCATTTATAAACGAGCATATATAACACTGATTGTTTCCTGTGGTCTGTTAATCAATGCGATTTTGTGTACATTCCGCAAGCGACCACTGATGATGCTTAGAATTGCGTTGCGGCGTTATGCGGGCGGTTTGCATTCTCGGTCACGAAGCAATGTTATGACCAGGCCACGGTGTGCGCCAGAGATTACGATCATACTGGAACAGTACTAACTTCTTCATAGTTGTCAAGATATCCGGGACTCTTATATGTAGCTTTTTATTTGTATACCAACCATTTAACGATACGATTGCCAAGTGATAATGGTTCACAGCAATGCTCACCTTTGCCTCCGCTGTTCCTCTGGCCATTTACTGTTATAAAATAAGGACTATCTTTATTTTAATTACAGAGAAAGTGTATTTATCAATCTATGATTATTTTTTTATATTTGGAGCTTAGAGACTAGCAAACAAGTTGAAACTTTTTATGTTAAACTTTAATTACTTTATAAATAAATAAATAGTACCCGGAGGACCGAGCTTTGCTCGGTTTGTGTTTTTTTTTTTTTTGGTAAATTTAGATACAAATTACTGAGTAATGAAATATGCATAATATTTTTCGATCTTACCGTCGTAATAATAAGAAAATATGAACTGATGTTTTTCACAAAAGAAAGAACTTTAAAAAAGAGGGAAAAAAATAACAATATAACAAATCGACAAAAAATTAAAAATAAAGAAAGCAATGATCTGGAATCGAAAAAAAGTAAAAAATTAATGTGTAAATGATCGTGACGCGAACCACGGCCGTCTGTTTTGGGGCCGCCTGATTACCGACCGAGCTATTATGACATTTTCTCTAGCTGCGAAATTTACCGTCATATTCGAATGATATTTTTCATTCCCTAAAAACAGGGATAAAAGGACATTTTCTAAAAATGAAACCTAGCTAGATCGATTTTTCGCCCCCGAAACTACGCACATACTAAATATCATGAAAATCGCTGGAGCCGCTTCCGAGATTCCGATTATATATATATATATATATATATATATATATATATATATATATATATATATATGTATATATATATATATATATATATATATATATATATATATATATATATATATATATATATATACAAGGATTGCTCGTTTAAAGGATAAGATTAACTGTGTATTATAATAGAAATATTAACTGAAAATTTCTTGCATAATAGTGACACTTTTAGCATAACCTCTATTCGAGCAGTAATAAGGATTTGGACAATAACTGGTGGTAGGTTTCTATAATTGTCAAGTCTTAGAAATAAATTAGTTGCAAAATAGGGAAATCTTGGAAACCTCTTGCTACCCCGTACATGTAACAAGGATGTGTTTTAAACAATTAATATTAAGTAATGAAGTAAGGATTGTATATTTCCTTGTGTACTAAAGTATATTATATTGTATTCTATTATATTCTATCTATATCTAATATTATATTCTATCTATTACCATGGCCACATAATCTTTATACACAAAGAACAAAAAAAAGACAAAAAATAAAAACAAAAGACAGCAAATTAATCGAAACAGTAGAATGAAAATTGTTATAGAATAACTAAACAGACTCGACGAGCTCTCAATTATACCCGGCTCAGATGAGGTTTGCCATTCTAGTTCTATTTCTGAATCCAATTTCTCACTTCTTTTAACGGCTGCATTTACATAGCAGGTACTCTTGGTGAAATAGAAATCTGTTGGCGCTTTACAGAAAACGGTTTGAATTTTAAATTAAAGCATGTTTTACTGATTCAGTTAGCGACAGGGCTATATGAAAAGCGATCCACATTTCATAGATTAATCGAATGAAAGTAATTTACTTTATACAAGTTAGTTTGCTCGGCCGTTCTCGTGTGTTAACTCTAATGTACACAAAACTTACTATATCTCATTTTGGAGATTATCGATATTAAATATTAACTGTTTATTTTTTAATTACATAGACATTATTTGAATGAAAAAAAAACTATAAGTATTTATATAAAAAGTATAATACAAAGTATACGAATAATGTCATATCCCGTTTATTGAAAGAAACAAATTTCTCAAAAGTAAAAATATACACGTTAGAGTTATTTCCTGTGGTTATATAACGAAAAATCGTATGAATGAAAGGGTTGGAGTGTCAACCCTATCTTTTCCCTTCCGCTCTACATCGGACTTCCATAGGGTTGGCAGTATATTACCGAGTTTTTACTAGTGATGCTATATCCTTTATTTCCGATTCACGCATTCAGTTATGAATGCTTCATACAACAGCATTACACTATCACATTTTTCGATTCACCTGAACAAATTTTTAGTTACTTATGTCCATATTTTTAATGTGAGAAGGTGGAAAGCTGGCTGGCGCCGTCCACTTGCAACACGCAGGGTTGTACATTCGTTTCCGCCTTTTAATATCGTGGGCTCTGGTTATCTCACTCATCCGACGAAATGCAGAAGTATAACATTTCCACTTCCCGGCATTCTTCTGCGAGTTCCTGCTACTTCAAAGGACGGAGCTGCCCATTCGTGCAACAGCGAAGACTGTAGCGTAGACCTACCACAGTGAAACATATTTGAGAATCTAGTAAATTTATAGTATACTAGCTGCTGCCCGCGACTACGTCTGCGTAGAGGGGTGAAAATTTAGGGTTGTATATATTTTTGTATGCTGTATCATAAAAAATAAAAACAAAAATTTTTATATAAAAAATAAAATAGAAAGTTAGGATGAAAAATAGACGTTGTCCGATTCTCCACCCTGGCCGATATGCACACAAAATTTCACGAAAATCGGTCGAGATCGATTTGGGAGGAGTTCAATTACAAACACCGTGACACGAGAATTTTATATATTAGATTATACAAAAATATCAATTTTGTTAACAATCACATACATTTTAAAGTCATAACGTTTTTTTTAATTATTTGATATTATCTGCAAAGTTTGTTTAGTGTTGTCATCGCAAATATTTTGCCCGCAATCTTATCTTCCAATCGACGAAAACTAATAGAGGGTCGTAAATAATATCAGACAAAGTGATATCAGCCGTACACCGCTGGACGTTAATGGTATTAATGTTTAACTTTTGCTACCGATATTTTGAGAGTAATGTTTGAATAACGTGCTTTCAGTACAGAGTGAAAATTAATGGTTAGAATCCTGGGATATATTCCTTTTACCTCGATAACAATTTAAAAATCTTTGATGTTAGTGCACTGGTTATATTTATCATACTCGTAATCGTGTAAAAAACAAACAAAGAAACTTGTGGTAAATATATTAAATAATAGAAAATAAATACTTTCATTTATCTATGTTACACTGGATTGACTGTGCATGTGTTCCTCCTGAATAGGACAAACGGCACCGGGCGACGGTGAAGCGGAGCTTGCGATCACAATATATACGTAAATAAAATATGGGATAGGTATATAACAGAGAGGTATCCTCGGTGAATTTCCTTTGGTTTTATAAAGCCTTTATGGGGAGTTATCTGAGGAGAGGTTTAAAAATAATAAAATAACAAAATACGAACATGCCTTTCATGGGACAGCCTTTCATGGAAGACAGATATTGAACGATATACCAGTATTTCGGTTTCGCGGACCTTATTTTGTCGCAAATCTTTGTGAAAATAAAATTTATACACACATCTTGTATAATGTTTACATTTTTCATATATATTATAATGTTATAAATTTAAAAACTCTCTAGGCTATAATAACTTGATGATATTATTGCACCATGATGCAAATATTGACAAAACTTTGACTAAATGACAAAACTTCGTATTTATATTGTATTTTTAGTATATTTAACATGACAACAAAATATTTCAAAATGAAAGCATTGTCGATAATTGTTCCACTATAAATACACGATAATAATATGATTTATGGGTAAAAAGAAGAATTGATAAACTCAATGAATAATCTTTGTTAAGCTATAAAATTAATCCAACTAAAAATTACAATGGTAAATCGTCATGTCAACATTTGTGTGGATTTTTTGATAATGATATATATTGCCGAAATGACTTGCACAATGAATACTAATCACTTTTTACACCTTAACGAATATAAATTGTGGAAAAGTATGATTTGTTGATATAGAAGTATGAAGTGAAATTTGGAACAATTGATAATAAATAAAAGAATTCTGCTTTTATGCTTCTGTGATTTAAAAATGCAGTATACGGTACTACAAAATTAGTAAATATGCACCACTGCAATATATTAAGAGCACTATTCATTCTTTTTTAGGGTTCAGATAACTACTAAGAATAAAACTACTTAAGATATGTTGGCGCTGGCAGCACTGTATACCGGATATGACGTTATCTACCCGAGCCAAGGGACACATGGTCGCATGGAGCAGTGATCACTTGGATTGCGGCCTCGTTCCCGGACAGTGATACAACCACTAGTGCTACTTGTCGTTATGATAGTTGTTAATATTCAAGTTCAGTAATAGTTAAAATATTAGAATCAAGGTAAAAACGTTAGAACTCTTATAGATAAGACTCAGCTGTCTGTCTGTCTGTCCGTCTGTCACAAGTCTTTATCTCATGAACCGTGATAGTAAGATAGTTGAAATTTTCACACATGATGTCTGTTGCCGCTATAACAACAAATGTTAAAAACTGAATAAAGATATTTAAGTGGGGCTCCCATACAACAGACATGATTTTTTTTGCCGTTTCTTATAGTACGAACGAAGGGTATGAACAAAATAATTTATTTGGAATTGTGTCGTTTGCTAGACCAATAACAGATTTGTCAGATTTCACATATCATCGAAACATTTTTTGTTACCATGTCGAAGAACTGAGGAAGTCACGATGTATTTCTGTACCGATTACAAAACTTTCTATCGGATATGACTATGATAGCGTATTTTAAGTCCCTCTGTCCTAAAGCTTTATACTGCCGCAAACCTCACTGACTTCGCACAAAAATTTGTAAAAAGAAATGGATAAGTGGACAAAACAAATTCCTAATGTAAAAATCGCACTGCTATAAGAACTAATAACTCCCGGTGCTGAAATAGCATTGTAGTTGGATTAAATCGATAACCGATTACCTCGGTGAGTGGCACTTCAGTCCGTACAGTACCACACCGTCGAATAGATTGCTCCAGGAATATCGATATGTATTATGCATAGGTATTGGGTATATACGTATATCGATGCTTGCATGTTTATTTTACAACCTCCAATCAGCAGATTGCCTGTCGAGCCGGTGGAGTGTTCCGGATATAGTATGAACACTTATCTCAATACTTTCTATTATAATATAATAGTATATTTTTAATGAAGGTTCCAATAATGTAC